TATGAACTACAGCCTTCTAAGGTATCAACATTCCCTAGAGCAGCTAACTTAGTGCATACACGAGTAGAGTTAAATTTTACACAAGAAAAACCTTCCATATTCCTTTGATATTGTTCCCTTGCCGGTTGAGGGGGTGTTGCAAATAGACAAAGCTTATTTATGTTGGACTGAATGAGTACTTCCCTAACCAAAATATGTGCCACTGTATTTTCCTGCCTGAAGCTATGCTTGAGGATTACCTGTCCCTTCTGTCTCGCTTGGAGCATTAACCACGTGCATTTAGTATAACTCCTATGCTTATTTTATTCCTTTGTACGGTGAATTTATTTGAAGGCACGGTGATTGAACATAATAGTTTTATTCTAACTTATGTATTTATTTTTAAAAATTTGCTTAGTATATATAAATTACTAAATTTGAATCCACCAATTTAAAAGAGAGATGGATCATTATCATAGCTCTGCCTCTGGTTTAGGGATGATGCCTGCTAAAGAACATGGGCAGAACGTTGCTTCAGAAGAAAGATTATTTTTTACTTTTACGTAAAACCAAGCAACAAGTACCAAATTCACCCTTTCATTTGGGCAACTTGTACTAACCCTATTACTATAAAAGAATTCCGATTCACAATATACTCATTAGAAAAGCTTAAAACATATTTCATCTGTCCCAATTTATATTACACACTTTTTTTTATTATATATCTTGAAAAAAATATCACATATTTATTTAGAAATAATTTAATTTTTAAATTTAATTTAAAGTCACATAAATATTTAAAGTTTATTTTAGACCATAAATTTTAAAAGTCTTCCATTCTTTATTAAACTTTATTTTTAGTCCAATAATACCACGTAAATTGGTTGGAAGATATAACAATAGCTTGTTTGACCAAACTTTTAAAAAGTGATTCTAAGTGAATTTCTCTAAAAAATACTCATAAAAAAGTACTTTTGGAGAGAAACTACTTTTTTTTGCTTCTTCAAAACTGCTTCTGCTTCTACTCAAAAGCATTTTTTTTCCTTCTAAAAGTTTGTCCAAATACTTTAACTTTAAAAAGAAAATATTTTGATTTTCAAAAAAAAAAAGTGCTTTTGACTTTGAAAAACCCTGGCCAAACAGGGTATAAGTAAGCATTTGAACATGTAAGGATTGATAAACAGCAGAGTATATTAGAAAAGCAATTTATTAGTTGTAATGCATCCTAATTAAATGGTACACTGACAATCTTTCCTTGCCCTATTTTTAGGCCTGCCCTCCAAAAAACCAAATTTAGAAAAGAAAATAGCAAAAAAAAAGACGAAAAATAGTTTAGAAATAGAATGACTGCCATTGACAATGTAACACCCCGTACATTCAGACTAGGTATGGATATGTTAAATGGGTACTAATTTGATATTTTAGACATATGAAGTCCTAGCGGGATGATTGTGGGTGAAAATAGTTGTTTCAAAATCAAGATGGAAAGTGAGGTGCATAAGATTTAACAAAATCGACTAAGTTTGCAGAAGGTCTATATTCCATCAGTGTTTAGTGAAAATGTGTAAGGAATTTGAGAAAACTTAAAGCATAAAGTTGTAGGCCTTTGAAATAGCTTTCCAACGATATATTATGGAGCCGGAATGGATCTCTGTGCAAAAAGTTATGTACGTTTTTCGGAACAGTACGCGTATGCGCGAACACTCGCGCGAACAAGCCTTCAGGTGCGCGAACTCGCGCGTGGGAGGCAGTGTTACTGCCGTTGAGCGCGAACTCTCGCGCGAACAGGCCTCCAGGTGCGCGAACTCGCGCGTGGGGGGTCGTTTTAAAGCTATATTTCATCCCCCACAGCCCTAAAACATAAAAACTTTCTCTAGAAAGGGGAACTATCAAAAACCTAACTCCTTAAGGGTCCTTCCACCACCCATGGTAAGTTCTAATGGTGATTTTAAGTTAATTTCAATTTTCCAACATCTTATTAACATGGGTAAACCCTCCATATCATTAGATATTCGATTGGGACACCATTATTGAGAGAAGAAACCCTAGAACTTGAATTCAAGAAGATTGAACGTCAAAAAGGTAATATCTTCACCCTCTAATTAATTCTAACATTGATTTAATGATTATAAACCCTAGTTCATGAGATATGAGTTGATGGGTTTGATAGAAAAGCATGAAAAATTATAGGATTGGGTTGTTGATTGTTGATTATTGATTAAAGATATCGTTTATCTTATGGGTGATAAAGAAGAGTATTGAACATAGCAATTTGATGCTTTAGAATTTATCGGGTCATTGGGTGTAGAGACACCATTAATAAGGACTATGAAGCTTTATTTTCACCAAGTGTTTGATAAGATACTTAAGTGACCAAAACATGAGAATCATTGCTAATATGGAATCCCTTTGACTTGTATTGATTTAGATTAAAGTTGAAAGGGGTTGACAAACGTTGTATTATGCTCAAGAGCAGGAAGTTAAGGTATGTGAGGCTAACTCTCTATGTTTGGGAATTTTAATGATTCTCCCTACACTACGTTTCTTTTAAAACGTATCAATTGCCTCAGAAATACAGTTAAGCCTAGTTCCTTGAATAGTTGTAGAACTTTTATTCCCTAGCTTCATAACTCGTTCATGACTTTCATTCTGAACGTCGTGAGCTCAGTTCGTATTGAATATAGACTTGGGTTTGATTCCCCGAAGTCTCAGTATAGCTTACTCAACATGTCATAAACAGTTGCAGTTTCAGTGTTCATAACCAGTTCAAGAATACATGTCTCATTCCAGTCCTATTCAGTATTCCAGTATTATGTAACTCAGTAGAATTCAGTATTCCAGTATTACGTAACTCAGTATGATTCAGTATTCCAATATAATGTAACTCAGTGTGATCCAGTATTCCAGTATCATATAACTCAGCGTGATTTAGTATTTCACTATTATGTATTGCAGTATGATTCTCAGTTCCTGATTTTAAATCCCTAAATGTTGAACACCTATCTTTGGGCCTGAGGCCGCAGCTAATGCTTTATGCATCTTTGGGCCTGAGGCCGCAGTTTATGCTTTATGCATATTTGGGCCCGAGGCCGCAGCTTGTGCACACACACACACACACACACACACACACACACATATATATATATATATATATATATATATTGGGCCTGAGATCGCAGTTTAATATTCAGATAAGCAGGTTGTTCATCATTCAGAAGAGGGAGTATTCATATCCTTACTTCCTTTATTCAGTTCAGTTATCAGTTATCTTTTCAGTTATCAGTTATCAGTTATCAGTTATCAGTTATCAGTGCAGTTATCAGTTATGAGTTATCTTTTCAGTTATCCGTTCAGTTACCAGTTCTCACTTCAGTTTCAGTTTCAATAGTTATCATTTCAGTTATCAGCTTAGTTTCAGTTTCAGCATTTATAATTCTTTCTTTCAGTTGCTTTACATACCAGTACAATTCAAATGTACTGACGTCCTTTTTTGCCCGGGGCCTGCATTTCACAATGCAGGTAATGATTAACAGGTTGATGATTCAGAGCGCTAGGATTCTCGTACCAGCTAATTTGGTGATCCCCAGTTCTTTCGGAGCATTATCAGTATGTGTTAGTTTATCTTCTGCATTCAGTATGTTATGATACCACATGTTGATTCAGCCAGCAAGTTGGTTCGCTCGGTCACATGTAGTCGGGCGCCGAGTGCTGTGTTACGTCCAGGCCCAGGTTCGGGGCGTGACAGACAAACCCCAAGTTCCAAAGCTAAATGATGAACCCAAAAGGTGCATAGGGTAATTATATTAAATGTTTGTATCATAGCGTGACACGTGGAATCAGAGGCAGATAAAAGATGAACCAAGTGGACAAGATCGAGGACAGCCAATTGATTGGCACTGGGTAAAACCCGAAGGGAACATTATCGACGAGAGCAAATGAATGTTTGTCACCAGATGACATTCAATGAACAACATTCCTCAGTAATAAATTTGCAGTCATTACAGGGGATTTTGGCATTCATGATCTACCGTTACATGTTCACCAATGACCCATTATTGTCATTTAAGAGGAGTTTAATCCTATGACCTTATTTCCTAGGTTTGCTATAAATAGTGGCTTCAACAACCACTGTGGGACAGAAAAATTCTAACAAACTTATTCTACACACTATTCCAAACTAAATAATACTTTATTTTCTATCTAACGTTACTCTTATTGCTGCCTTCGGAGGTGTTGCTCCCAGAACCAAGGTATCTGCTATTTATCTGGATTTCAATACTAAGTCTTGCATTTTATTTAATTTATTTATCATTTTGGGATCAAATCGATTCACTTGTCTACAAATCACGCTATGAATTCAACTGTATCGTTTTACGGGTAAATAAAAGGACTATGAAAGATTCTCATTTTTTTCTGTCAATGTGTATTAATAAGAATTGAGCTCAAATCGAATAAGGAGGAAGTCTCATTATTCTGTCAATATATGTATTTTATCCAAAACAAAAAAATTTAAAACTAAACATCAAAATGGTGCGTGCCCACTTGCATCTATAAGGATAACATAATATCATCTTCTTTTTCGGTGGCTACAGCATATCTTATTATGTTGACCACTTTGAATCATGATTTCCTTGTCTATTTTCGTCTACTTTTGTCTATTTTCTCTCCCTCTCTCCATAATTAGTAATGACCTTTTCCTTTCTTTAGATATATTTCTCTATTTTCAAAATAGATTTGTCATTTTCCCTTTTCCGAAAAAAATAAATTTCAAATTAGAAGAATTCAACTAACATTCTGATAAATTGAATTTGCTTAAAATTATTTGATATTTTAAGAAATAAAAAATTATTTCTAATTTTTTAAAGTGGGATCTAGAAAGGATAGTGTGTACCTAGACTTTACTTTACCCCTATTTGTGAAATATTATAACTATTAAAAATATTTCTTGGTATAAGAGTTTAATCTCTTCTTCCAAAATTGGTCAAAGAGATAGGAGGAATAACTTTTTTTTTTTCTTTTTTAGGAAAAACCAGTACCCTTCAGGTGTGCAGTGGTGCAGTGGGTAATAACTCACAAATCACACAGGAAATATAAACTGCACTACGCACGTCCGGTGCGACGAGCTCTAACTGAAGAGGCTGCTGATGACGAAAATGGATCTCAGATCTCTCATGTGAGAAAACACTCACCCAGTCAACCCTTCCGGGCAAGTACAATTGAGTTATACTTGCATTATCTATCTTGAAGCAAGGGGTTGGTGGTAGTTTGCGCTCCTTTATAATAACATTATCTATCTTGGAGCTTAAGGGACTGTACTCTATAGCCAAAGTCTGCGTATTAGATATCCCAAGTCCCAACCATGGCTTTAATATGGACTTCACTTATACTAGCTCTAGTCATATACATGTTCCATAGGTTACTAAACATCAAGAACAGGAAAAAACTTCCACCAGGTCCAATAGGAATTCCCATTTTGGGACATCTCCACTTAATAGGTAAAAATCCACACCAAGATTTTTATAGATTAGCCAAGAAATATGGCCCTTTTATGTACATGCGACTTGGGTTGGTACCAACAATTGTTGTTTCTTCCCCTGAGACAGTTGAAAAAGTCCTCAAGACTTATGATCATGTATTTGCTAGTAGACCTCATCACGAGGCCTCTCAATATATATGTTATGGCCAAAGAAACTTGATTTTCTCTAAATATGGATCTTATTGGAGGAACATGAGAAAATTATGTACTTTGCAACTTCTGACTAGTCAAAAGATTAATTCATATCAATCTTCAAGAAAGGAAGAAGTTTCCATTTTGGTTAAATCAATCAAACAGGCTGCTCAAGATGGTGTTGCTGTTGATCTTAGTGCTAAAGTTTCATCCTTGAATGCAAACTTGAGTTGTTTAATGGTTTTTGGTAAAAAGTTTATGGATGAAGATTTGGACAAAAGGGGTTTTAAATCTATAGTTCAAGAAGTTGTACATTTAGCTGCAACACCAAATCTTGGTGATTTCTTTCCTTATCTTGGTGTTTTGGACCTTCAGGGACTTACTAGTAGGCTAAAGGCTCTTTCAAAGGTTTTTGATGAGTTTCTTGAGAAGATTATTGAAGAACATGTTCATTCTAAGGAGCTGAGGGAAACAGAGGATTTTGTAGATACCATGATGGCCATTATGCAATCTGGTGAAGCTGGATTCGAGTTCGATCGCCGCCATATCAAAGCTGTTCTATTGGTATGTAATTTCATTGATTCAAATATTTAGTTGGTGACTAATTCACAAACAGATGCTAGCATTTGAAAAATGTGTATATAAATTTTCAGTATTGTTAAAATTTTATGTACTATGAGGATTCGTCATGGACTAGTTTTATGTTGGCTGTCAATCTGCTGCTTCCAGTGTGAGCAAGCTCAAGCGCGGCGTTCATTTGACTGATCTCAACTTGTTTGGAATTGAGCTGTTGTCGTAGTAGTTGCTGTTTGTCGTCATCAGAGGCGGAGCCACCTTATCCCAAGGGGTGTCAATTTGACACCTCTTAGTCCAGAAAATCATACTGTGTAGCTACATATTTTTTCCTAAAAACTATATGTTACTATATACTCCTCTTGATTCTTCGTATATTTATTTCTTTATATTTTGACACCCCTGAAAATCCTAGCTCTCCACGGGTTGTCATTACAACTTTGATCTGCTTAATTCATATTTTTGGGGACAAATTTTGTGCACAGGACATGCTTATGGCTTCAATGGACACTTCAGCAACATCAGTAGAATGGATACTCACTGAGCTACTTAGACATCCTCAAGTGATGAAGAAACTACAAAAGGAGTTAGAAGAAGTTGTTGGCCTGGACAGAATGGTAGAAGAATCAGACTTGGAGGATTTAAAGTATTTAGACATGGTAATAAAAGAAGCTCTAAGGCTGCATTCAGCTGCACCATTACTGGTTCATGAGTCCATAGAAGACTGCGAGGTCGATGGCTTCTACGTACAAAAGGGATCGCGAATTATTGTCAATGTATATGCAGCTCAAAGGGATCATAATGCCTGGCCTGAACCAGACAAGTTTTTCCCAGAAAGATTTGTTCAAAGCAGCGTAGATCTTCGTGGACACGACTTTCAACTTCTACCATTTGGCTCTGGTAGAAGAAGTTGCCCTGGTATGCAGTTGGGAATCACAATTGTTCGCCTTGTGGTCGCGCAATTGGTGCATTGCTTTGACTGGCAACTTCCAAATGGTATGCAGCCTAGTGAATTGGACATGAGTGAGAAATTTGGTGTTGTAACTTGTAGGGCAAAGCATCTGATGGCAATTCCTACATACAGACTCCACTATAGCTGATTTAAGTAAGCATGTTCTTGTATATGTACCATGTAATTTTCAATGTACTTTAATGGATAAGTTTAATGCTTATTATATGCAGTCAATTTGATTGCTGCTTGGATGTTATTACATGTTAAATAAGACATTCTTTCAAGCAAATGTTAGTGATGTTTTTTATATGAAAATTTTATAGTACACTTAAATAATTGAGCTTAAGTCCTTACATTTCAATAGGTAAGTGATATAATTGTAAACAATAAATAAACTGTTAGAAGTATTTGAAGGTTCTGTGACATTCAAACTTAATGCAAGTAGAAATATATACCTTGACAATAACTTGTAGTTTACAAATTTCAATCTGTCAGATGGATCTGTCAAATTCAAACTTAGTGCAAGTAGAAGATCTTCTTTGACCATAAGTACTTCTATTAGTGTCAAAAAATTCATCTGAACCTACTAATGATGAGAAGATCACAATTTCAATCCCAGTGAGAACTTGCTGTAAGAGGATGATCAAAATTGTACATCATTGCTCATTAATAATTTACTTATGCTTTGATTTAGGATAATTGCACTTTTACTCCCTAAATTATTGGTAAATTCTGATTTTGGTTTTTGTGATAGTAGACTTAAGCATGTTTATTGAAGGGGAGTCTTGGCGTAACTGGTAAAGTTGTTTCCATATGACCAGGAGATCACGAGTTCAAGCCGTGGGAACAGTCTCTTACAGAAATGCAGGGTAAGACTGCATACAATAGACCCATGTGGTCTGGCCCTTCTCTAGACCACGCGCATAACGAGAGCTTAGTGCAGGGCTGCCCTTAGACCTAAGCATGTTTATCCTTGAATTATCTAAAATATGTGTTTTTTGTTTGTTTAGGAAGTATGTTACCTTCTTTCGTTGGTTTTGATAAAAAAAAACTGAACAACCATGAACCCTAACTCTTTCCCTCCCCTGCCAGCGCCGGCGAGGATAACCGGGCACGTGGGCATCGGCGACCAACAGGGAATGCGTCCGGCACCCCTAAACTCCATTAACGAAGGCTTCTCATCTCAATTTAACTATGCAGCAGCAGTAGAAGGCAAAGTCAATGGTCCTGGACCGAAGGGTGTTCAACTACAAAGTCTGAAAAATGCCAACATTAATTTGGTTGTGACTGACGATGAAAAAGATAAGGGGGCAAAGAGAAAAAAAAGGACCTGGTGTTGGCTTAATAGGAAGTTTATTTTGTGTATTGTGTTTTGTCTTTGATGTTATATGTTGATTACTGCCTAATCCAAGTAGGCAACTTGGAGATTGATCAAATGAAGCTGCAATAGTAGTTTTTCTTCAGTAGTGATCAAATGTGTTTTACCCCTGTCTAATCCAAAGTTGTTTTGACCCTTAGGGCCTTTTCTTAGTATCCCTTCACTGTTTTGATTTAAGATTCTATACTCAATCATGCTGTGTTTATTGATATCATAACTCAGTCTTTATTACCTCGTTTTGATGCATAAAAATGTTATTTTGGGCTGAGCACCTTGTTTTACTGATAGACCGAGTGGCTTGAGAGGTTGTGACTGAGTGAGGCCGAGGGCCTATTTTTGTGAGGAGATTATGGGATCGGGCTGTGCGCTGCAGCATATTGTTACTAATTTATGATTATGAGAGGCCGATAGCCTGATTGATTTATGCCACGAGGTGGCTTGTTATAGCGCTTGGGCTGTAGGAGCCCCTTCGAAGTGTGCACACCCCCAGTAAGCACAGGTACCTTGAGTAAGTGTTATGAGATATGCCCGAGGGGCTGGTTATGAATGATGTTGTACCCGAGGGGCTGTTTATAATGTTCATCATTTTTACTCTCATTTGCATTGCGTCTCTATTGAAACTGTTGAAAAATATCTTCAAATGATTTTTACCGAGAATTGGATTTTAAACGAGATGATTTGACTCATACACTGATTTGAAACCATGTTGTACTTTCTGAGATTTCATGATGTGGATTTTATGTGTTTCCTACCACTCAGTCTTTATTTACCTTTATTACTTACTGAGTTGGCATACTCACATTACTCCCTGCACCTTGTGTACAGATCCAGGGGTTGCTGGACGTGCTAGCGAGCATTGATTTCATCCGTCGTGGATCTATGGAGTTAGCAAGGTAGCTGCATGGCGATTGCAGCCTTGTTCGTCTCCCTCCTATCTTCCTTTAGATATTATTTATGATTTCCAGACTGTATTAGTCTTATTTTATCTGACAGTCCTTAGTAGATGCTCATGACTTGTGACACCCCGATGCCGGGCTTTTCTTTCCTCACTTTGTTATTCAGATTTATCTTATGAAGTTTTATTAATTAAATAGCTTAAAGAAATCTTTGTTTTGAAATATTGGATTGTTTTGGTAAAAGAGTCAGCTTGCCTAGTTCCACGTTACGCGCCATCACGAGATGGTAGATTTGGGTCGTGACAAGTTAGTATCAGAGCCTAGGTTACATAGGTCTCACGGGTCATAAGAGGGTTTAGTAGAGTCTTGTGGATCGGTAAGGAGACATCTGTACTTATCTTTGAGAGACCACAGAACCTTTAGCAAAACTTCATATTCTTGAATTCTTGTCGTGCGAATTTGTTGATTTTGGTTACTAAACTTCTGTTATTCTGTTCTCTCACAGATGGTGAGGACACGTGCTACTGGTCAAGATGGATGGCCACCAGTACCACCAGTTGGGGCCATGAGAGGCCGAGGTCGCGGTCGACGCCGTGGTAGGGGCAGGGGTATGGCCCGCATAGCAGTTGGGGCAGCACCTACAGATCTACCAACCGCCCAGTTCATGATCAGGTCCTAGTTGTGGATGCTCCAGCAGGACTAGCTCAGGCACCGGCTATGCCTATTGTTATCCCAGGTCTTCAGGAGACCTTAGCTAGGATCTTGACCGTGTGAACCGTCTTGCTTAGGCGGTTGCTGTTTCTACTACAACAGCTACTTCCCAGGCCGGGGGAAGGACTCATACTCCCGCCGCCCATACACCTGAGCAGGTTGTTCAAGGATTACAGACATCGGAGGCAATACTAGCCCAACCGGTTGCACCTGCTCAGGATTATGTGGTACCAGTCATGCTTGACGACGAGCAGCGTAGATTGGAGAGGTTTGGTAGACTTCAGGCTCCAACTTATAGTGGTACAGAGGGCGAGGATGCCCAGGGTTTCTTGGACAAGTGTTAGAGGATTCTACGTACAATAGGTATTCGGGAGACCAGTGGATCTCGTTCACTACTTTTTAGTTCTCTGGAGCTGCCTTTACTTGGTGGGAGGCTTATGAGATGCGTAGGGCTGTTGGTGCAGCGCCCCTTACCTGGCAGCAATTCTCCGTTCTCTTTCTGGAGAAGTATGTGCCACAGTCTCGCAGAGGAGCTGCGCAGACAGTTCAAGCAGTTGCATCACGATGATATGACTGTGACGCAGTATGAGATAAGGTTTTCTAAGTTAGCCCGTCATACTATTTGGTTGGTTCCCATAGATAGGGAGAGGATCAAGAGGTTCATTGATGGCCTCTCATATCAGTTGCAGATTCTTATGACTAGAGAGAGGTTGTCCAGTGCTTCTTTTGAGGAGGTGGTTGACATTGCTTGGGAGATAGAGTCAGTTCACCGCTTGGAGCGAGATGAGAGGGAGGCCAAGAGTCCTCGGGGATCTGGTAGTTATAGTGGTGTTCCTCCTGGAGGTCAGTTTCAGCACGGCAGAGGCCGTCCATTCTGGCATGCTTAGTCAGCTCGCCTAGGCCACCGTGGTGGATCATCTGGCCACGGTTCTCACAGTTCACATTAGGGCCACTCATCTCTCAGTGCCCTTATAGAGCAGAGCTCACATTATGCCTCGTCTGCTCAGGTTTCTACAGGTAGTTCCACGGGGTATCAGGAGCAGCAGCTCCGTCAGAGGAAGGGTTATTTCGAGTGCGAGGATTTTGGTCATATCAAGAGAGACTGCCCCAGGTTGTTGAGTGGGACTCCGCCTCAGCAGAGGAGTCAACTATCGACTTTAGCACCAATTACTTCACCACCCACCCAGTCAGCTAGAGGTGGAGGACAATCAGCTAGGGGTCGCCCTAGAGGGGGAGGTCGATCAAGTGGTAGTCAGGCCCATTTTTGTGCACTCCCAGCCAGACCAGATGCTATTGCTTCAGATGCTGTGATCACAGGTATTGTCTCAGTCTGCCAAATATATGCCTCTGTATTATTTGACCCTGGTTCCACTTTTTCATATGTGTCATTATATTTTGCTCATTATCTGGATATGCCTCGTGAGTCTCTTGTTTCATTTGGTTGTGTATCTACTTCGGTGGGTGATACTGCTGTTGAGGACTGCTTATATTGGTCATATGTGGTGACTATTAGGGGTTTGGAGACCCGAATGGACCTTTTGTTACTTAGTATGGTTGATTTTGATGTGATATTAGGCATGGATTGGTTGTCTTCGTGTCGTGCTATTCTGGACTGTCACGCTAAGACGGTGACGTTGGATATGCTGGGGGTGCCACTGATTGAGTGGCAAGGTTCGTCGGATTATGTTCCCAGTAGAGTGATTTTATTTTTGAAGGCATGCGGATGGTTGGGAAGGGTTGTCTTTCTTATTTGGATTTTGTCAGGGATGTTAGTGTAGAGACTCCTTCCATTGATTCAGTTTCGGTAGTGAGGGATTTTCCGAATGTGTTTTCTGTAGACCTACCAGGCATTCCACTGGACATGGATATTGATTTTGATATTGATCTGGTGCTGGGAACTCTGCCTATTTCTATTCCACCGTATCGTATGGCACCGATAGAATTAAAGGAATTGAAGGAGCAGCTTCAGGAACTCCTCGATAAGGGGTTTATTCGGCCTAGTGTGTCACCTTGGAGTGCGCCTGTTCTATTTGGGAAGAAGAAGGCTGGAACTATGAGAATGTGCATTGACTAAAGGCAGTTGAACAATTCACAATCAAGAACAAGTATCCTTTGCCTTGTATTGATGATTTATTTGACCAGCTTCAGGGAGCAAGAGTGTTCTCCAAGATTGATCATAAGTCAGGGTATCACCAGTTGAAGATCAGGGACTCAGACATTCTTAAGATAGCTTTCAAGACCCGATATGGTCATTATGAGTTCCTTGTGATGTCTTTTGGGCTGACCAATGCCCCAGCAACGTTCATGCATTTGATGAACGTGTTTCGGCCTTATCTTGACTCGTTTGTTATTGTTATCATTGATGATATTCTGGTGTACTCGCGTAGTCAAGAGGAGCACACTAAGCATTTGAGAGTGTTATTGCAGCGGTTGTAGGAGGAGAAACTTTATGCAAAGTTTTCCAAGTGTGAGTTTTGGCTCAGTTCAATAGCGTTCTTGGGGCACGTGGTGTCCAGTGAGGGTATTCAGGTTGATCCGAAGAAGATAGAGGCGGTCCAGAGTTGGCCCAGACCGTCCTTAGCCACAGAGATTCGTAGCTTTCTTGGTTTGGTAGGTTATTACACTCGGCTTGTTCATGGATTTTCATCTATTACATCACCCTTGACCAAATTTACCCAAAAAGGTGCTCCTTTCAGGTGGTCGGATGAGTATGAGGCGAGCTTTCAGAAGCTCAAGACTGCCTTGACCACAACTCCAGTGTTAGTTTTGCCATCAGCTTCAGGTTCATATACAATATATTGTGATGCTTCTCGGGTTGGTATTGGGTGTGTGTTGATGCAGGAGGGTAGAGTGATTGCTTATGCTTCGCGTCAGTTGAAGCCCCATGAGAAGAACTACCCTGTTCATGATATGGAGTTGGCTACCATTGTTCACGCGTTAAAGATTTGGAGGAATTATCTCTATGTTGTGTCTTGTGAGGTGTTTACTAATCATCATAGCCTCCAGCACTTGTTCAAACAGAAGGATCTCAATTTTAGGCAGCGGAGATGGTTAGAGTTGCTAAAGGACTATGATATTACTATTTTGTACCATCCGGGAAAGGCCAATGTGGTGGCCGATGCCTTGGGTAGGAAGGCGGTGAGTATGGACAGTCTTGCATTTATTCCTGTTGGAGAGAGATCTCTTGCAGTTGATGTCCAGGCCTTAGCCAATCGGTTTCTGAGGTTGGATATTTCGGAGCCCAGTCAGATCTTAGCTGGTGAGGTTTCTCGGTCTTCCTTGTTTGATCATATCAGAGAGCGCTACTATGATGATCCTCATTTTCTTGTCCTCAAGGATAGAGTTCAGCATGGCGATGCTAGAGATGTGACCATTGGGGATAACGGGGTATTGAGGATGCAGGGCCAGGTATGTGTGCCCAATGTAGATGGACTTCGGGAGTTGATCCTAGAGAAG